AACACACACACATACACACACACACACTTCTTTCTTGTGACTTGGATTCATGGAGGCTGAACATCGACTTTGTTACCCACTGTTCCAGCAGGCGGAGGAGAGGTGGAGGTGTGGAGGGAACGGGAAGAGGCATGGCAGATGAAAGTGAAGAGGCGTATTTACATCTTGCATGAACTTTCTGCAGACTGGACGGATCTCTTTACTCAGGGTGGCGCTGAACATCATGACCTGCTTCTCGTGGGGAGTCATACGGAAAATCTCCTGGACATCTCTGCGCATGTCTAAGGAAGAGACATTATTTACAGCGTAAACTCATCTCGATGCAGTGACAAAAGAATAATGACGAAAGACCCTTTCACATATGCACGCCTGCACTCTGAAACCCATTTGTGTCTATTGTTTGATTTCCCGCTGCACCGAGCAAAGCACAGCACATGCACACTTGTGACGTATTTTTGTGCGAGGAACAGAAACGAAGAGTAGTGCTGCGCTGAGTTCAACCACATGATGAAGGAGAACATTCTGTATCAGAGTTTGGTGAACTGTTTGCTGCAGGTTCTGCAGACCTCAGAGAGAAGCAGTGCTGTGGAAACAACACACTCTTCACCAGCTGGGATAAACAAAGTTTTCTTCTTTATGAACCAGCGACACATGTTTTTGTCAACATTTGAACATAATATGACACAAACTCTCGTTAGAGAGACACGTTTGGAAATGACAAGCAGTGAGTGCAGCGCACGGCCGATGTAACAGGCCCTTCAAAAGAAAACATTTTTGCTTCACTTCGTACCAAATTAATTGTCAAAAACACCAAGAAATCTATGACATCGCATTTGAAACAATTAATTCTTAGAGTCCTGACAGGGACTAGAAAGAGAGAGCAGATTTCTCCTGTTTTGGCTTCCTGTTAAATCCAGAATTCAAAATCCTGCTCCTCACATACAAGGTCTTAAATAATCAGGCCCCATCTTATCTTAATGATTTGGTTTTAAACACTGGCACATATTTGGATCTGACTTCTCTTTAAAAAGTGGGTGGTGCCACTTACCAAGCTGCTCGAGCATCTTGTCACACTCATCCAGGATGAAATGTTTGATGTGACGCAAATTGAGCGTC